AAGCCACATGTTGTTTATATCCCAAGATCCTTTAAGATTACCTATGTATAGATTTTTAACTACCAACCCCCTGTGTTAACAAGTTTTAAGTTCATTTTTTTTTGTCACATAATTTACAGCTTTCTAACCTTACCCAGTAAACTTACAAAGTTTGAGGTACAGAAAATTCATATAATAGGCTTACAAATCTTGAGATAAGATTTATGTCTTAACAAAAGTTTTAGGCAGTTAAATAAAACCAATAGTCTAATTTCTTTTACTGTTTTCTTTGCTTCCTTTTCCCAGTCACAAAAGCAGGTAAGTCACCTGACATAGGACAGACAAGAGACCTTTAAATAAGCATGCTTGGGTCTGGAGAAGGAAGTCATAACCCAACTCCAGAGCCAGCTTTTCAATAAAGTAGAACAGCATAAAACAACTTTAATATTCTCCACACCCAAAAAAATTAAATCCCTGCTAAACTGAATCCACTGGCCAGAAAGCTCAGAGATAAGAAATTCTGAGCCATATGGAGAGATACCTTGCTCAGTCTAGACACAGGAGTATGGGGGGTGGAAAGGTGCCTTGGTCCTGCCTCAACAAGATGATGGGACAGACTTAGTAGACTTCCTATGGAAGGCCTTACCCTCTCTGAGGAGCAGATGGGAAGTAGGGGAGGGAGTGGGAGGAGAGGAGGGAGGGGGAACTGGGGTTGGAATGTAAAAAATTTAAAAAGTTAAAAAATAGAGAAAAAAAATTCTGAGCCATCTAAGTAAGCAGCCATGACAAATGGCAAATGGAGATGGCAGTGGCCTGCAGTTGGTGGAGGCAGAGACAGCAAAAATAAAATCAATAAACACAGAACATATAGCAAGCTCATGCATTCAAAGGAGACTTAGTCAAAAGCAAACCAGGTGGTGGACACCGTCATTCACACATTCAACTCAACCTGGCCGGTTTTCATCTCAGCTCCCATGTTTGCAACAAAACTTCTACAAAGACAAGACGAACAAGATAGAAAAAATAAATAAATAAAATAAAAAACAACCAGACCAAAAACCTCAGGTAGGTGGGTATGTCTTGTTTTATTACCTTAGATAAGAGAGCATTGGGTCCTGTCACACTACTCCTCATCCCAGATCAGGATCCCAATAGAAGTAGATGTCACAGAAAATTCCTGACTTACAATGGGAGGCCTCGGCATAGGCTGGCTGCTTTTCTCAGCATAGCAATTCACTCTGATAGTCTTTGAAACCAATTTCATGCCTTGGAGCCTTGGATGTCTCAAGGGGTGCACATCCTGAGGTGTGCCTTGAGCCCTTGGAGTCCCAGAGTGAAGGTCTGGTGATGCGGATGTCTTTCTGTATGTTTCTTATTGGCTGAGGAATAAAACAGTTTGGCTAGTGACCAAGCAAGAAGGATAGGTGGGACTAGGAGAGAAAGAGAATTCTGGGAAAGGTAGACAGAGGGAGCCCACCTGACAGACACCATGGAGGAGCTGGGAAGACAGGACAGACCAGGTGCTCTCCAGTAAGATGAGACCATGGAGAAATGTATAGATTACTAGACATGGGTTAATGATTAAGACAGCTAGCCAATAAAAAGCCCTAGTCATTGGCCAACAGTTTTATAATTAATATAAGTCTCTGTGTGTTCATATGGGGCTCAAGAGTGGCGGAACCCAGCTGGGAAAGAAAATCCTGCAACTGTCTGGCTTTAGAATGTGGGTGGACTGATGTCTTTGGAGACTCCAGAAAATGTTAATCTCACCAGGCAAGATTAAGATCACTATGACATTTTTGAGCCAAATTTGAAGCAAGCTTCATTAAGTACTGGCCAGGTCCAAGGATACCTTTGTCTAATCAGACACATCCTGACACTTCCTGCCTACATACCTCCTGCCTACATGTGATCAAGCACACATCCTGTGCAATTGGTTTAGAAAAGTTAAACACTGCACTTGTTATCTTCTATGAACCCCCATAATTCCATCTGTCCTTGGACCGGCTAGAGGCATTTTGTCTTATGTCTTAAGCACAGTAATTTAAACTTTAAAGATAACTTTAGCAATCACATATGCTCGGCTGCCTGCTGCCATGTTCTCTACTGGAGTCTAGCCCTCTGGAACTATTAAGCCTCCAAATTAAGTGCTTTTTTAAAATAATTTTTCTTGGCCAGTCATAGTATTTTGTCACAACAGTAAAAAGTGATTATTTGTGGCTCTAGGGCCCCTGAATCCACTTTTGTTTGAGAAGAACCCTGTTTTGGAAGTAACTCTCATATTCTTTGTCAGCTACGAGTAGATGGAAGTTTCTGTCCTACCTGGTCCTGCAGCCATTTAGTCCCAAATAAACATACTGAGGCTTATATTAATTATGAATTGTTTGGGTAATTGCTCAGGCTTCTTACTGGCTAGCTCTCTCTTAATTATTAGCCCATTTCTATTAGTCTGCATTTCCATGTATTCTTGGCTTACCAATGATGTCTGGGTCTCTTGCTTCCTCTGCAGCTACATGGTGTCTCCCTCACTCTGCCTTCTACCTTTCTCTGTCCCTGTTTGGATTTCCCAGCTGGTTAAATCCTGCCTGTCCATTGCCCAAAACACCTTTATTCATCAACCAATAAGAGAAACATTCACAGCATACAGAAGGATTTCCCCCATCAGCTATAGGCAATAAATTCTTCCTGATTTGTGCTAATTTTGACTTATGGTCACCAAGCTTTGAACTCCCAGCATTCTCTCAGTTAGTGTTAAGTTGCTTTGCCAAAATGGGAGGAGGAGAGGACCCTATGAACTCTTAACACTTTTTAAAATCTCTGTGCAATTTGCCTTACCTCTATATTACTTTGAAGACTGTTTTACAGAAGGGGTGGCCACCTCTTTTTTTTTTTTTTTTTTTTTTTTTTCTGAGACAGGGTTTCTCTGTATTGTTTTGGAGTCTGTCCTGGAACTAGCTCTGTAGACCAGGCTAGCCTCGAACTCACAGAGATCCACTTGCCTCTGCCTCCCGAGTGCTGGACTAAAGGCATGTGCCACCAACATCCAGCCAGGATGGTCACCTCTTTTATACCAGGAAATAGTAGAGAGATTGCTGTCTCTGATCTAGCAAAATGACTCAAGTGCCTCAGCCTTGGGACCTTGCCCAGTGTGTCACTATGGGACAGATTAGGGAAGCTTGACCTTTCCTAAGGGGATAGATATATGATATTTCTGCAAAGGCATTCAGCTAGGAGTTAAGTACTGGATAAAGTCCACTGGGTGATAAAAGGATTTACTGTTACTTAGATCTTGAAGGAAAATGAGGACATGGCTGCTCTTAGGTTTTGTTAAGGAGAAAGTTTTTATTGGAGCTATGAAGAACACAGTCAGAGGCATCTGGAAGAGTCCAGACTAAACTGGGCTATCAGAGGAAAGGGGGTAGGAATGAGAGAAGGAGAGAGGATATCAGAAGAGAGAGGGCAGGCAGACCAAGAGCTGGGCAAAGGGAATGGAAACCCAGCCCCTGGGTTGGAGAGGGTTAAGGTAGGGGGCGATGAGAAGGACTTGGAGGAGCTTCAGGCACTGAGTATGCCTTGTCCTGGGTTTCTTAGAGAGCTGACAGATCTCTGTTACAAAGGCTAAACTCACTCACTCTCTCTCTCTCTCTCTCTCTCTCTCTCTCTCTCCTCTCTTGTTTTTTTGAGACAGGGTTTCTCTGTATCTTTGGAGCCTGTCCTGGAACTCACTCTGTAGACCAGGCTGGCCTCAAACTCACAGAGATCCACCTGCCTCTGCCTCCTAAAAGGTGTGTGCCACCACTGTCTCCCAGCAGAGCGTCTCTCTCTTTTAAACAACTTAAACTGTGAGTGAAGGAAGCTTTGTTGAAATGACCTAAAGAAAGGGAACAAAAATCCAGATCCCAGAGCCATTACCGTCACAACCCCAGACCGTTTAATACTAAAAATCATACATATGCATTTATTGTGTCGGGAAGACACATGCCAAAGCACTCACTGGAGGTCAGAAGACAATTGTGGATTCTGCTTTCTCTTTTCACCATGTCAGTTGTGGGGATCAAACCCATGTTATCAGGCTTGTCGCCAAGTGCCTCTACCTACTGGACTCTCTCCAGCCCACTCTGTTTACTTTTGTGGAAACTACAGGTGCTGGCAGCCAGGCAATTCCTTCTTCTCATGGCTCCTGCTGCCTTAAGTGCCCACAGCTGCGGAAGAGACTTGGTTCCAACAGTACACGCTGCAAGGAAATTTCCAGAAGGTCACAGAAACCATGATAGTCCTTGCATAGCTCCTATAGAAACCACTTCATCTGTTTCAGAGCAAGGCCCCCATGATGACAACAGCAGCCTAAAGAGGGTCTAGGACAGCCATCATGGCTCCAGAGGCTTGTCTTAGCAGCCCCCCCCATTGTCAGTATGTCCAAGTCCAGGAGACCTTGTTCCTGGGCATTGCCCCCCTGCGCTACAGCAGAGACCCCAATAAAGCCCTATCTGGTTTCCTTAATTTGTCTATGCCTATGGTCTTTTATCAAAGAAAGAGTGAGCTGGGCTACTTGCAGAAAGAGCAGACAGCATCAGGGCTGGTAGACCAAGCACACTGTTAGGGTTTTTACTGCTTTGACAAAACACTACAACCAAAAGCAAGTTGGGGAGGTGAGGGTTTATTTTGCTTACACTTCCAGGTGGGGGAAGTCAGGGCAGAAATTCAAATAGGGTAGGAACCTGCATCCACTTCCCCAGTGCTAGGACTATGTGTGCATCAACATACCCATTTCTTTACATGATTTCTAGGGTTTGAACTGACTGGGCAACTTCCCAGCCCTCTACTATCTTTATAGTTACTACTGTTGCCATAGAAACCAAATGCCAGCCGTTTGAGATCCCAATGTCTTGCCTTCCACCTTCACTTTCATTCTAATGGTTAGTGTGGTCCTGATGCCATCACCTGTGTGTATGTGAAATGCTTAACAAATATCTCAAAGATCTGCTTGTCGTGGAAAAGAAGAAAAAATAATTCCATTTTAGTTGTAGTATTTTGTGACTTTTATTTTTAAAAAAAGCTTGGAGCAAATATGACAATGAGTCAGCGCTTCTAAACCCTACATGGTAAAAAAAACAAACAAACAAAACAAAACTATTATGTTGTATGGTTTTCAAATCCCCCATTCACTATACATCAATATTCATTATGATTATGAAATGATTATCCAGGATACATGTTGATAAAAACTGAGAAAATAATTCATAAAACCATTACATTCATAAGTAAAAACACATGCAAAAAAAAAAAGATCCCATCAAGTATTACATGGTATAAAATCTAGAGTCATAAAAAGTAAAAGCTGAGTACTCTCTTTGGCATCAATTTCCCTTCCCCAGAGTCAAATACTGCTACAAAATTTTAAGGTACATTTCTAAAACTTCTTAATGCATATATGTCAACTCTAAAAGCATAAGATAGACATATTTTGGATGATACTTTGTTTGCAATGCAAAACATCTTAGAGATGACCTCACATAAATACAATGAAAATATCTCACTTTTTATGGCTTCGTGGTATGATGGATGTTGAGATATTCTGAAAATTACTCCCTTCAATCCTTTTGAATAGATATTTACTATTATTCTGCATGCTGCTACTAGAAGGAAAACTCTATACTTCCATTCAGAAGCCTTTTACCCATGTGCAAGTTGTCTACGTAAAGTTTTTTGGAGATGAATCTAAGCTAAAGATTTATAAGCATTCATGATTTTCATGGCCATTGCTAGATCCTTCTGGAAGGAAGTACAATACACAGAAGTATTATTTCTCACCAAAAAGCATGTCATAACACATGCTGGTTATGTCACACTCCTGCTACTATAAGTAATGACTCTACATGTAGGAACTATTTAAACTCCTGTGCCCTTTCACCCATCACATTCTTTGTCAAACTTTCTTTTGATATTGGAAATTTTCTTTTATGTATAGAAACTTTTTTTTTTTTTTTTTGAAACAAGGTCTCGCTATGTATCCCTGTCTGGTCTGGAACTCACTATATTAACCAAGCTGTCCTCAAACTCACCAAGATCTACCTGTGTCTATCTCCTGAGTGCTCGGATTAAACCACCATATATAAGACTTTTAGAGGAGAAAAAAAACTACTTACACATTTACTGCCAGCATTTCCTCAGCATATTGTTTCTTGACTGTTTTGTCTTTTTGTTGTTTTGTTTTTTCAGACAAGTTTTCCCTGTATAACCCTGACTGTCCTGGAACTCACTCTGTAGACCAGGACAGCCTCAAACTCAGAGATTCTCCTGTCTCTGCCTCCTGAGTGCTGGGATTAAAGGTGTGCACCACTACCCAGCTTTTTGTCACTTTTTCCTGCAATACTTTTAGTTAGTCAATGTTTGTTTCCTCTTTCTTTCTTTCTTTCTTTCTTTCTTTCTTTCTTTCTTTCTTCCTTTCTTCCTTTCTTCCTTTCTTCTCCTCCTTCTCCTTCTAGATAGGGTCTCTGCAAAATCGTGACCTATCCTAGAACTCTGTAGACCAGGCTGACCTCAGACTCACAGAGATCTACCTGCCTCGGCCTCCCAAATGCTGGGATTAAAGGTGTGCACCACAATGCCTTCCCATCTCTCTCTCTCTCTCTCTCTCTCTCTCTCTCTCTCTCACACACACACACACACACACACACACACACACCACTTTGAGTGAGAGAGAGAGAGAAACAGAGAGAGAGAGAGCGAGAGAGATATCTTGATGTCAGCTAATTACCCTAGTATCTCTTACTATTATCTGAATTCTCACTTGTATTTGCCCCTGACATTGAGGAGAGTACATAACTTAGTGGGTACCTGTACATTAAATGTTTTGTGTTTAAATCAAAGAGTTTCAAAGTCATCTAAACCCTTCCTAATTGAAAACTGGTATCTCCCTATCAAAGCAAAAGCTTTATAATATAAAGATGGGTTCTTGCCCTGGAAGCCAGACAGAGCATAACATTGTAGAAAATGGCTGTCTCACATTCCACTGGAATTATTCCAAATACTATGTTTCTTTCCATTCCTGAAAATTGTTGGACACTAGTCAACTCGATGTGATTACTGGAAAATTCCAATTCTTCCCTGACCTGCACCAGTGAACTGGGTTCCTCAGTGAGCTGAGACATGGTCCTCCTCCTCAATGCTAGAAGAATCTTTTCTTTATATATTTCTATATCTCTGGCTTTGCTAAAAAGAACAGCAACATCCCTGGGATAATAGCCAGACCTCCAGAGATACTGGCACTTCTCTGCTACAAAAATGGCCATCTGACTCAAATTCAAGGCATCAGTTATCTCTAAATTGCCTGTGACACCTGGAACCCATTCAAGTTCTTGGACCATTGTCAGGGCCTCTGAGGGGACATTTGGGGGTGGATTGTTTCTGATTTGCTGCATTATTTCTTGTAGGTGGTTGGCTATGCTGCATCCATTTCGGAGCATCCTGGTGAGCTTCAATATTAACCTCTGGTGCTGGAGGTCAGGGAGGCCACTGCAACACAAGTGGTTGATCTGAAAGTAATCTAGAAAAACACAGAGAACTCCTGGTTCATATGTGCCTCTCTGGATGATGGAGTTTGCCTTGGCATACCAGTCCCCATCTTCAGTTCGGAAATTCTGAGCATCATCCACAACAATGTGTTTAATGTTATTAAAGGTATTTTTCATGAAGGATTTCCGTGTCACTGCCTGGCAGATGTTTCTCTGGCTGAAAGTGTAAGAAATACAGTCAGGTTTTTTCAGCCATACCAAAAAAGTCAGCCCAACCTCTAGTTACAGTCTCTGAACATGGTTACTACAACCCAGAGCTTAGCCTGAAAGCTTCACCCGCTAAAATTGCCCAGCAGAAAGAAACTAAGAGTCAGGCTGCATACATACCTTGCAAACCTCTTCAAAGCCTGGTTCTCACAGATATAGAGAATGTCATCAGCTTGGCAGTTGAACACATTCCTAATCTTCTCCATGATCCTGAGAGCCAGAGTGGTCTTCCCTGATCCAGGTAAGCCATGAACAAACAACTCTCTGTTCTTGCAAAGATCCTTTAAAAGCAACTGATACTGTTGGTCTGTGAGTAGGGTCACCACCTTAGAGTCTAACTCTTCATTAAAGAAGGATCTGAACCCAAACAAGACGATCACAAGGGATTGCAACAGAACTTCCATCTGCTGCATGGTCGTGAAGTTATAGGATTCAGGGTAGATGGGCATTTCCAAACCGGCCCTTACTGTTTGATAAGGACCCAGCTGCAAGACCAAGGGAATGATGCCTAATTTCCCAGAGTATCCACCCATGTTCACCAGCTTCTGCTTCAGGGTACGGGCAACCCTCATAGAATACCCTCTGTACCCCAGATCCCACTTGTTGCAAATGGTGTACAGGATTGGAACATTGTTTGGGGAAATTAGCAGAGCATCACAGATGACACCCCGCTTCCTTTCAAGACCGAGGTCCACAGCCAAGCTGTGGGAGAAAATCAGTATCCCTTGAGAGAAAGAGCGCATTTCCATACTTATTAAGTTTCTTAGTCCTCTGTGATCCAAGATGAGGTCCCTGTAGACACTTTCCGGAGTATATGTAATCCTGTCAGGTGACACTAGACAAAGAAAGGATCCAAATGAATTAGAGGCTCACAGGACAAGCTATTAGTCACCATTACTGTGGGAATCTTTCTGGAATAAGCATTCTGACACCAATGACGGTAGAAGAGAGATGTCACCAGAACAGCCCCTGAGAGCCATCAAATCCCAGGTCCAGTACGTACTTGCATTTTTTACTCTAAAACTACAAGATGGAGTGGGTAAGCAATCAAGATTTTACAAAAGGGTACAGGGCAGTCGGCAGGATTTTAAGGGCCATGGCCATTGTTTCAGCTATTTATCCAGGTCATTCTATTTCAGGTAGCAAGTGAAGTCATCCTTGGCAAACAAGCAATACAAGCAATTGTTACCATCCAGGCAAACACAAACCTGGCCCTGCCCCTCTGGGACCCGGCACACATAGTAAGCAGTACCCTGGCTCTGTACACAGGTGCAAAGGTCCCTTTAAGAGGAAAGCTCCGCCCACTTCTCTCTTTCAGCCATTTCTCTGAGGAGGCAGAGAGATCTCTGTCTCTTCTCTCTCTTTCTCTCTTTTTTCTTCCCTTCCTTCACTCCCTTCCCTTCCCCCAATAAACTTTCCACATAAGTTCTGCATGATGGTATATTTGCCATGAGACTCGATTAAGGTTCAACCTCAAGCCATATTATTCCAGCAGTGCTTTAAGTAAATCACTAAATAAATTGATAAGTCAGTAGCTAATAACTGGTCTTTTTCTACCTTGCTCTACTTCACCATAACATAATGGAGGTCCTGCCAACCTTTGGGCCCTACCATGTGTCAAGGATCAGCTTTATGTTAGCAGCAAAAAGATAAGAAACCCTGTATCTGGGAAAACCCAGTTTCAATAGACACAGACAACTCAGGGTACAAAGTAGCAAAGGTAGCAAGAAAAAGCCTCACTGGGACTGTGTGAACATTGATGGAAAATACAGCTTAGCAAAAAAAAAAGAGAGAGAGAGAGAGAGAGAGAGAGAGAGAGAGAGAGAAAGAAACAGTTTTGCAAGTCTTTATGGAAAGGACACAGGGATTCGGGAATAGAGAGATAATAAAAGGAGAAGTGTGAGCTGTGAGTTTTGGCACATGTATTTAATCCCAGGACTGAGGAGGCAGAGGCAAGCAGATCTCTGTTGAGTTATAGGCCAACCAGGGTCACACAGTAAGACTGTCTAAAAGAGGCAGAAGTATGTGTAAACATGGAGGCAACAAACACCCCAATCCATTCAGATAACTCCACACAGTTTGTGAGAGACAAAGAAAAGGGGATGGTGGTATAAGGAAGGAAAGCATTCAGGAGCCATCTAGACACTTGGCAAGAGCCACATGCTAGCTGGTTGGGGGAGCAGATCAACACCTGCCACAGGTTATGACTGTGATGGTGGTTACACAAAACTATGGGTGTGCTAATATCCATAACACTACAACAAAAATGTCTATTTCATGTAGGTTAATTTTGACTTTTAAAAATCCTTTAAAATATTTTTTATGTTTTATGTATGAGTATATGTAAATATGAAAGATACCTATAAAGACTTTTTTGCATATGTACTATTAATTTTTTGGCTATACAGACTATATACATGAGTCTCTTAAAAATTGGAGGGTTATAAACACTGACTGGAATCTAACCCAAACTATGAATACTCTTCAAAGGAAATCAAATTCACATTTGGAAGGCTGAGGCAGATGGATCTCTGTGAGTTCAAGGCTAGTCTGGTCTACATAGTGAGTTCCAGGACATTCAGGACCTATTTAGTGAGACCACCCTCTCAAAGCAAAGAAAGACAGAAACAGCAATAACAACAACAAAAAGTCAACCCAAAATCTGTGTTTCAAATTCAAGGTACAAAGCAGAACCACGGATGAGTTCATATTTCTGTGTTTGGTTGAATGGACAATAGAAACTCCAAGTAATCGAATTTTGAACATTAATTTTTCCCTTTTTTTAAAAAAAAAATTGTTTATTTTTATGTACATGGGCATTTTGTTTGCATGAGCGTCTGTGTACTGTGTGTGTACAGTGCCTACTGAAGTCAGAAGGTGATGTCTGATCTCCAGGAACTGGAGTTTCAAATGTTTGCTAACCATCATGTGGGTGCTGGGAATCAAACTAGACTCTCTACAAGAGCAGCAAGTGCTCTTAATTGCTGAGTCATCTTTCCAGCCCCTGAACAATTCAATTTTAAAGTACCAATATAGAGCAATATGCTGATTCTAAAGAAAATGGGAGGTTGTCATAACAAAAGGTACATTTTGGTGGTGCTTAGTTGGTCATATGACTGATACCATAAACTGGATACACTAACAATTTGAACACACCAGTAAAGTTTGTCTGGAGTAAGAGATATACTAGACTGAACCCAGCAGTATCCTACTATATTTGTCTACTATTATTTTAAAGTAACTTTATGTTTGAAATACTTAACCAATGAACTAAAGAAATAAAAGGTCATAAATATAGAAAAGGTTACTCAAAATTATCTTTCCTCTTTGTATTAATATGTTTATTAAGTAAAAGAGCCTATTCTAAAAATGACATTAACATATGAAAGAACAATGTTATAAAGCTTTGAAACGATTGGGATATTTGAGACAAGTGTCACATTTCATGGATTGCAAATGTACTTCAGTGTTTCACTAGTCATATATCTTATGGTTTAATTAACAATATTATTTTTCAGAGCTAACAAAATGATAGTAGGTTGTTAAGCAAATGTGAGAGAGAAGATTTGTAAGATCAACCAGACAATCCATGTTGAACTATGAGAAAATTTACACTGTAAAATTGACAGTTCTTTCCAATTCAGCTCACTGGCTGAATAGATTGGGCATCAAAATAATATTTGATACAACAAAAGGCTTCTAAGATTCTTCTTGAAGAAAATCACCATGGTAAGACCATATTGGTGAACATGGGCCTGGGCATATGTTTTGGATTGCTCTTTGGCAATATCCATCTAAATTTATAAGCAATTGTTACTACACGGAATTTATCCTTAGAGTGTGTCAGTTATTGATAGAAAAATTTTTTAAAGTACTGCTTAAGATAGAAAAAGGTGCCAGGCTTGTGGCACACACCTCTAATTCTGAGTTCCACTCTAGCCTGGTGTACAAAGTGAATACCAGGACATCCAGGGCTACACAAAAACCCTGTCTTGAAAAACCAAAAAAACTGGGGAGCTAGAAAGATGGCTTAGTGGTTAACAGCACTGGCTATTCTTCCAGAGGACCCAGGTTCAATTCCCAGCACCCACATGGCAGCTCACAATTGCCTGTACTCCTGTTTCAATGGATCTGATACCTTCACATACACAAAACACAAGTGTGCATGAAATAAAAGTAAACAAATTATTTTTTAAAGAAAATAAGAACCAAAAAGAAAAAAAAAAAAGGAAAAAAGAAGGAAGGAAGGAAAACGTTGTTTCAAAAGAAGGGAAGCTGAAAAAGAAACAACAGCAGAGTGTTTGCAGAGTTCTAGTTACTTATTTTATTTAGGTGGTGGTTACACAAGTTTCATGGCACAAATTACTTATTAAATTATATCTTTGTTCTATATCCTGTCTATGTGCAAAAAGTTTCATAGTGAAATAACTAAAACTAAGAAAAAATCCATATTTAGAAACACTAGAATGTTTAGAAATATTTTTATAACCAATGATAGAATCAAGAAAAATCCATGAACAAGGTCACGACAAGATGGCCTAAACACTGTTTACACTCAGCCCTGTGCTTGCATATAGCAATTAACATTTTCGCTGCTAATGTTCCATTTGGTAACTATATTGCAATGTACCTACCCACTCACTGTGGTAATGGTTGTGTGCCATCATGTGGGTACCTGCCAAGTCCCCTCCCTAAACTTTCCATAAGTTTAGGACATAAGAATCAAAGGGTTTCCTCCCTAAATATAGGAACAATCATCCCAAAGATCCAGAGATGACAATTACCTGGGAAGTAATCCCTCTGCAAATCTCCCACACACTTCAAAATCTTATGTGTGCACACAGTCCTGCATCGGGGTGTAGTATCTGCAATGCTCCTTGAAATGATCATCTGAGGAAAGCTGGAAAGCTCTGAGGAAAGAAGAAACAAGAGTTGGGTACACAGTGAGGAGACCCCTCTTCTTAGCTGAGCCATGTTAAACTAAAAGCTGGGATCTGCAGATATTTGCATTTCCAGCACAGATCACCCAGAAACCAAACCCAGGTCCTCTGCAAGAGCTGCCCATGCTCTCAACCTCTGAGCCACCTCTTCAAATACTCAATATTGAAATAAATTGGGTTTTTTTTAAGAATACTATTTTAAGTATATGTGAGTAGAAGATGTGAAGGTCAATGGTATAGAATGCTACACAGTTCTGAAATGGACCATTTTTGTTTGTTTGTTTTATGACTTTTGAAGTTACCATTGGCTTTCTCTCATTTAATTTTCACTTTATCTTCACTTTTCCAAAACACGCCCATCACATCCCTGTCATTTATGGTTATTATACCTTGGGTCTTGAAATGGGAAAATGGGGAAATTGTGATTTGTTCATGAAAACCCTTAAAGAAAGGATTAAGAATAATTTTTATAGGTTGTGAGATGACTCAGCAGTTAAGAGCACTGTCTATTCCAGAGGATCCAGGTTCTGTTCCCAGCAGCTCACAAACATCAGTAACTCCAATTCCAGGGGATCCGATGCCCTCTTCTGGCCTCCAGAGGCACTGCACATGCATGTTGCACAGATATCATTCCAGCAAAAATACCTATATATGTAAAATAAAATTGTTTTTTAAAAAGAGTGCTTTAAGGCTAGGCAGTGATGGCACATGCCTTTAATCCCAACACTCAGGAGGCAGAGGCAGGTGGATCTCTGTGAGTTTGAGACCAGCCTGGTCTATAAGAGCTAGTTCCAGGACAGCCTCTAAAACCACAGAGAAACCCTGTCTCAAAAAACAACAATAAAATAATAATAATAATAATAAAATAGAAGAGTGCTTTAAAATGGGAAGAGGACACTGTCAGGAAGTTAGAATAGTCACATCTATTATCCTTGTGGAAAGGGGATTTGCTGAATAACTAAATGCAAGCTGGTCATCAGAAAGGAAGAGGTGGCCAGTGTTGGTGATGCACACCTTTAGTCCCAACACTTGGGAGGCAGAGGCAAGCTGATCTCTGTGGATTCAAGGCCAACCTGGTCTTCACAGCCAGTTCCAGGACAGGGTCCAAAGCAATACAGAGAAACCCTGTCTCAAAAAACAAACAAACAAAAAAGCCAGAAAGGAAGAGGTTTTAACATGCACATGAGGCAAACTGTGCCAGGAGTGGTGGGTCACACCTGTCATCGAACACCCTTGAAGGCTTCAGCAGGAGGGTTTTGAGTTTGAGGCCAGCCAAGGCTACCCTGACTCAAAATTAAACAAGTAAAGAGAAGATGTGGAACAGAAGTAATTAGTTCAGATTGCCCCTGTACCAGCCTCCAATAGGACTGACATTCTGATGAACACAGAATATTCCAGGGGATTAGATAGTGGGCAAGGGCAGTGTTCTGCCATCTATATGAATTAATCTCTTTCCCCAAATACCAAAGCATTACACATCTCCCTTTTCTCTCTGCCCTCCCGTCCCCTTCCCCCCAGCAAACATTCTACAGTTTCGGTCCTGTTTCCTGACCTGTGTCCGTCTCTATCATCCAAGCTGCCCAGTCCTTCATGGATAGCTGCTTCACATGACTGTCCCTTATCTCCCAGGAATCAGGTGCTTTGGCAAATGCTGCACAGCAGAATCGTTCCACCTTGATCACACAGACATACCCACGGATGGCCCCCTTATCATACACTTCCAGGACTTTGGGGTCATATTGCACTTTATGGGTTTGTGAACAGAAGTGATGAACAGGCATGTTCCTGATACAGCGGTCAATAGCAGTCAACAAGCTGGAATAATTTACTTTTTCCTTTTCACATCCAATGACTTGGCAGGTCTCGTCGTGCACACCAAAAATCACGTATCCTCCTTCAGAATTGGCAAGTGCAGAAACACACTTAGGGAGTTTCTCTTTAATGCCCTGGGAAAGGTCTGCAGAGAACATTTGAAATTCAACATGCGGGGACTCTGTAAAGTTGAGTTTTTCCAGGTACAGAAGCCGCTGCTGTTTATTAAATAAATCAGAAGCTAAGATCATCTGATTGTCAACTGGGACCTCCTGTGGATTTAATGAGTTGGGATCACCGACATTCTCAAGAGCCTGGATCCTTCTTCTGAGGAATAGTAGGGCTTCTAGAGAATCCATGACCTCAGTAGATGTTCCATGTCTGTGGTATAAATTGGAACACAAGGTGGCAAGCCGCACACCTGAGGGTGCCACCTCCCACGAATTCACAAATATTAAAAAGAACTTTCCCTGCAACATCTCATCTATATGGTTTCTGAACAATGGTGGCAGATCCAGGCCTACTCCATCACACTCATAATTATAGTCTTCATTCTCAATCTCAACCTTGACCACTCCCCCACCAGAATTCAGCAGAGCACACACTGCTTTTGAGATGGTCTCATCCTGTTTCAGCCGGAGTGCAGGATCCATCCCCGCCCTTTGCCTAACCCCCAGAGTGGCCTTTCCTCCATCTGTGATATATTCAGCAAAGTTCAATTCCAGATTTTCCAGACAATTCATCTTCTCAGCCTTTATCTGAAATGTTTTCCTGGAAGCCGGAAAGAGAGAAACGTTAGAATAGGACAAGAATGGGAAGGTGTGAAATCAAATGTAAGGACATCTTTCTGACGTTGGCCTTTTATTCCCACAGCCTGAAGCCAGCTTCATGAAAAAAAGCTTAGTCTGTGGGATGCCCACTTTCACCACAGAAATGGCCACGAGGCACTGCTCATTCTGATTTTGCTTTCTTTCTAAAATTGTACACACACACACACATATACATCACAGCATGCACATGTCACAACACACGCATGCGGACAACTCTCAGGAGTCGGTTCTTTCCCACCTTGTGGGACCTGGGGATGGAATCATGTTGCCAGGCACATGTGCAAGCATCTCTACTCACTATCTTGGCAGGGCTTACACTGATTTGGGGGGTATTTTGGTCAAGTTCTTTGAGTGGCAAAGTCTCTCGGGTCATCTTCAAAACCTGGAAAATTTTCTGATAGTGCTGGTGGGATCCAGGTAGGAAACTTCTTTAGTCAAATGCAATCTCTGCTGGATACCTATGTTACCATTTTTTCTTGGTTCTTTGCCTCTCTCCACTAATTGAGAGTGGGGGATTCTTGAGATTATTTTTTTTAATCCGATCTGATTTTGTTAGGAATTTATCATTGCTGCTATTGAACAGACCATTTTAAAAACTCTGATTCTGGTGGATTCCGCTGTATCATAAAGGTTACACACACACACAGAATGTCAATGCAATGCAAATTTGATCAGAGAGGTAGAAACAGAATGCTTACTGCTATACCTGGCAGAATTTGGAGTTCTCTAAATCATAAGAAAAATTAGTAACTATTTGAAATAAGAACAGCAGTTTGACGTAGAATGTAGACATTTAGAAAGGTGCATTGTTAAGATGGAAATTTTTCAGTTGCCCTAGGTCCCAGAATAGCCTGAGAACATGCACTCCTGACCAGGAAGGACGCCCCCCCCCCAATGGGCTTGCAAAACATTTCCTAGAAACACAGATGCAGGTGCCAGATAAGGAGCATGAGGCCTGGCCAACAATAGGCACCTGGGCCCAACCAATCAGGAGCTTGCTAGCCCCTAACCCCAGACCCCCTAGCCCCCCCATCGTGGTTTTTGTCTTTATAAGCTCATGTAAAATTGGGCTTGGGGCTCACTCTCTCCTCCTTTGTGTGGTATGAGTTGAGCCTCAGCCAGCTAGAATAAAAAGCCTCTTGCTGTTTCGCATCAAGTGCCAATTTCTGAGGTTTGTAGAACAATCGACCATCGATCCTTGCTTCCAGGGAACTTGACCTTGGAGGTAAGAAAGGTGTCTTCTCTATCTGTTGATCTGTTGCTGTCACCTGATTCTGGTTCACTTTCGGTTTGCAGTTGACCGACTGTTTGTGAGAACAATCTGGCCGTGGTCGGTAGACGTGTCTAGAGGACCACAGGTTGCCGCCCTGGAGGACGCCGTGAGGAACGGAGAAGCAAGGATGCTTGGTGGTCTCCTCTGAAGAGGACCCAGATCTGTCTGATCGAGTCCTCCTGATTTAGCGCTCCACTTGGACAGCGCTGCCCTGTCTGAAACACTCATTTTTGTGGCGCCACAAGCATGGCCGTGTTTGTCTGTTGAGTGTTGCTTTCATGTTCTTGTCTCTCCATTTGTATCTGACTTTCCGACTGATGATGGGACAGATGAAAGCCACCTCCCCCCTCTGCCCCTTAGTCTGACTACCGACCATTAGACGGAAATTAAATGCAGGGCCCACAACCTGTCGGTTGAGGTCTGAAAGGGTCCGTGGCAGACTTTCTGCACCTCAGAATGGCCTACCTTCAATGTAGGGTGGCCACCTGAGGGGCCACTTGACCTGACCATAATTCTTGCTGTTAAAGACATTGTTTTTCAGGCCGGCCCAGGAGAATACCCAGACCAAAAACCCTACATGAAGGTTTGGCAGGACTTAGCCCAGAATGGGTTAAGCCATGGGTGCATAGGACGAATGGCCAGCTAGACTCCGGAGTTATGGCGGTCCAGACTTCTGGTCAATTGGAGGGGCCTTCCCGACTGGCTTGCCCACAGAAGATTTATCCTTCCATCCAGGAGGACCTTCTCCTCCTGGATTTCCCCCACCCCACCCCCCACCTCCATATCTGCCAACCTTGACTCCACAACCGATACTGGGAGAGGCCCAAGGGGAGATGAGCCCTCTGCCCCTCCAAGCCAAAAGAACCCTGAACCAGCCCCAGGGCTGACACAGGGAACACGCAGCAGACGAGGCGCAACAGACGAGGCGCCACTCCTGAAGCTTTACTGGCCTTGCCTTTGCGGACCTATGGGCCCCCTCCCAAGTCGGGCACAATGGTCAGGCTCCCCTCCAACAGCTCCAGTACTGGCCCTTTTCCTCTGCAGATTTATACAATTGGAAAACCAATCACCCTCCTTTTTCAGAGGACCCACAGAAGCTAACAGGTCTTGTAGAGTCCTTGATCGAGTTCTCTCATCAGCCCACTTGGATTGATTGCCAACAGCTCCTCCAGACTCTCTTCACCACTAAAGAGAGGGAAAGGGTTCTCCTTGAGGCTCGTAAAAATGTGCCTGGGGCAGACAGGACCCCCTCTCAACTCCCCAACGTCATAAATGCTGGATTTCCCCTTGACCAGCCCGACTGGAACCACAACACAGTTGCAGGTAGGGAGCGACTGACAATCTACCACTGGGCTCTGGTGGCTGGTCTCCATGGAGCCGCAAGGTGCCCCACTAACTTGGCTAAGATAAGGAAAGTAGTCCAGGGGGCCACTGAGGCTCCTTTGGTATTCTTGGAATATCTCATGGAAGCATTTAGGAGATATACTCCTTTTGACCCTACTTCAGAAGGCCAGAGGGCCTCTGTGGCAATGAAATTTGACTGGGATCTTGGCCGCCGTAATTAATGATAGGGAACAGGCTCAGACTAGGAATCAATTTAGAAAGACGGGGGACCTGGGCAATCGAACCCCCCCATTAGAAAGGATCAATGTGCATATTGCAAAGAAAGAGGTCATTGGGCACAAGACTGCCCCCCAAAAAGATGGTTAACAGAGGCAAGAAAACAAGCAGTAACTCAGATACTGGTACTGCGGATGGCTCGCCAGGTGCAAGAATTTCTGAGGACCGCCGGTTACTGCAGGTTATGGATCCCGGGGTTCCCATTGCTAGCAGCCCCCCTCTACCTCCTGACCAAAACTAGTGCCCCTTTTAATTGGGATCAAGAGCAACAACAAGCTTTTGCTGTCTGCCCCAGCCCTGGCTCTCCCTGATGTCACCAAGCAATCATTCTCTTTGTGGTCGAAAGAAACGGGATTGCTAAGGGGGTACTTGCTCAGCTCCTGGGGCCATGGAAGAGACCGGTGGCATACCTTTCAAAAAACTAGACCCTGTAGCCAGTGGATGGCCAGCCTGTCTACGGTCCGTTGCCTCCATGGCGATGCTTGTCAAGGATGCTGATAAACTGACTCTGGAACAAAATTTGGCCATCGTGGCCCCTCATGCTCTTGAAAGCATAGTCATGCAGCCACCCGAACACTGGTTATCCAGTGCCTGCATGACCCACTACCATTGCCTGCTGTTAAATGGGGATCGTATCCAGTTCACCACCCCCACCATGATCAACCCTGCCACCTTATTGCCAGATCCGGACCCCCAATTCCCAGTCACACATGACTGCCAAGAGGTCCTAGCTGAAGAGACTGCCAAGAAGTCCTAGCTGAAGAGACAGGGGTCCGACGGGACCTGAGGGACCAGCCATGGCGGGTCGCCCAGCTGACCTGGTTCACTGACAGGAGCAGCTATATTGTGGAAGGTAAAAGGGTGACAGGGGTTCCTGTTGTGGATCTAGAGCACACTGTATGGGCCAGCAGCCTCCCAGAGGGAACTTCAGCCCAAAAGGCAGAATTGGTGGCTCTCACCCAGGCCTTGCGTCTGGCAGGAAGACAAAAGGTAAACATTTATACTGACAGCTGATATACCTTTGCCACTGCCCACATTCATGGGGCCATCTATTGGCAGGGGGATTACTAATCTCTGCAGGCAAAGACATTAAAAACAAAAAGCAATCCTGGCCCTATTAGAGGCCATTCACCAGCCTCAAAAGGTTACTATCATCCATTGCCAGGCGATCAAAAAGGAAACTCACCCATAGCCCTAGGAAACCAGTGAGCAGTCGCAGAAGTCAAGAGGGCAGCCCAGGGTATTAATCTAATGACCTTAGTTACGCAGGAATAAAAAGCCTCTTGCTGTTTTGCATCAAGTGCGGATTTCTGTGGTTTGTGATTTGTGGAATGATCGACTGATTGATCATTGCATCCTGGGATTCGAGTGGGGGTCTTCCCAGTGTGGGGATCCAACAGCATGACTTAGTATACATGTCAGAAGTAGGTTCTTCTAGATGAGCGGGGTATCTAGACTTCGTACACTCTGCAGAGCTGTCAACCATCAGGAAGAATGTGAAGTGTCTTTCCACCTACATCTCTTTATCTCCAAACTTTGACCCCAGACTCAACAATCTGTGGTCCCTCGAGAGGCTGTGAGCCAAGATAGATGACTTTTGGATCAAAGCTAAAAATCTCATGACAAAAACTCAAGATAGATAGAGAACCATACCTGGTTTTATTAGCGACCTGATTCTTTGTCTAAATAGACACCAGTTAGAAAGAACTTCAAACTCATTGATCTGTAAGGCCAGTTCTGCCCTGACTATCTCATTGTTATGAGCAACACAAGAAAAGAGAAGGGGATAAAGAGGAATAGTCTGATTCTACCAAGGACTCCACAAAATGAGAGCCAACCGTTAACAAAACTCAGGGACCAAAAAACTACTAAGTCAACACAGAGAAAAAGAATTCAGAGTCAGGGATTGTTTACCACATGAGTGCAGGATCAATAAGCTCTTATCAGCGATATGGAAGAGGCTCAGTGAGTGCTCACCTGGCCAAAGGCTGGACCTAGAACTGCGAGCTGTGAGCCGGTGTTTTGTTGGAACCGATATTGGTAAGAGCACTGGCTTGAGAACCTGGTATTGGGGCCCCTGAACGTGGGAGGTCTGGGCAGTCTATGGGTCTCTGGCAATAACCAGTATTTATCCTTGGTGCACAAATGGGCTTTGGGAGCCTATTCCCTATAAAGGGATACTCTCTCAGCCTAGATACATGGAGGAGGGCCTAGACCCTGTCCCAAATGATGTGACTGACTTTGATGATCCCTCATGAGAGGCCTCATCCTCCCTAGGGAGTGGATGGGGGTGGGTGGGTGGGACATGGGAGGCAGGATGGAGAGGGAGCTGGGATTGGTATGTTTTTTATTTAAATAAATAAGATTGTTTTTTATTTAAATAAAAATGTGTTTTTTAAAAACCTGGTATTGGTTCTGAACTCACTATAACAAGGCATTGAGCTGCCATTGCTTGCATTGGCTAGAATGCAAAGACAAGCAGAGGAGTGCAGAAGCCTGCTAAGCAACCACAAAGGAAGGCTTGGGTGTGGTCTGACTGAGTAGGTTGCAGTGGGGAAAGAGGAAAGCTGAGAAAAATGGATTGTCCTTCTTGACTAATTTGGGGAACATTATTGACTTCCTGAAGGGAGAGGGAGGCAGAATTAAGGAAGTTGTCAATTATTAACCAACCAGCTTTTGAACAATCAGGTTGTGTACTGGTTGCTACAGAGTGTGTGGTCAAATTCTTACTCTTTCTCTCTCTGTGTGTGTCTTCTTGCTCTATCTCTTCTGTCTCCTCTTTCTCTGTCCTCTCCTCTCTCTCTCTCTCCCTTCCTCTCTCCCTCTCTTCCTCCCCACTGTTCCCTTGGGTTGGGCAGACATTTCATGTAAATGGCATTAAGTACATAATATAGAAAGAAAGGAATGGAGAGATGACTCAGAGTACTGGATATTCTTCCAGAGGACCTAGGTTCAAATCCCAGCCCCACATGGTGCTCACAACTGTCTGTAACTCCGTTTCCAGAGCATCTGACACCCTCTTCTAGCTTCCAAGGGCACTGCGTGTACATGCATGCAAGCCAAACACCCAGACACATAAAATAAGTCTTACAAAAAATTATTTACTTATTTGTTTATTGGCTTTTTTCAGACAGGGCTTCTCTGTGTAACATCTCTGGTTGTCCTGAAAGTTGCTTTGTAGACCAGGCAGGCCTGGAACTCTGGTAGAGCTTCCTGCCTCCGCCTCCAGAGAACTGGGATTAAAGGCATGTGCCACCATGTATTTTTATTTTATGTATCTGAGTGTTTGGTCCACATGTATGTGTGTGTGTACCTGATATCTGTGGAGGCCAGAAGAAGGAGGCCAGAAGATTCCTTAAAACTGGAATTACCGATGGTTGTGAGCTAAGAAGCAACCAAAGTCCTCTGGAAGAGTAACCAGTACTCTTAATTGCTGAGTCACCGCCCTAGCCCCAAACAAAGAAATCTTGAAAAATAGAAAAGAAAGCCTTCTTGAAAGATATTGTTAAGAATGAAAATATAAGAACCTGGTTGAAAAAACAGATTTGCAAATTATATATCTGATGAAGAATTTGTGTCTAAATTACATTCAGAAGCTTCAAAAGGCAGCTAAGAAAACAGGAGCTAGCTAGGGTGTGCTGCAGCACTTGCCTTGCAACGGGGTGGGATAGGGGGGAAAGGGGGAGGTTATCCTGAGTTTGCTCTCCTCACAACCGAAGCCAAAGCAAAACCAGAAAACAGGAAGTTGGGCTTGGTGACCAGAAACTCTGTGCTTAGTGGAGGCAGGATTTCTAGGCTGGGCTAGGATATATACAGCTAGAATAGGGAGAAAAATGGAAGGAAGAAAGGGAGAGAGAGTGAGAGGGAGGGAGGGAGGAGAGAAAAGAAGGAAAAAAAAGAAGTTGTACAATGGATAAAGGAGATGCTAGAGAGATGGCTCAGTGGCTGCTTTCCAGCCAACCTGGGTTAGATTCAGTAACAATAAATCTAAGACTACACAAGAATATTATAAGCTCAAAACCCGCCAGGAAACTAAATCTATAATTAAAAAAAAAAAACTAATACTGCACTTTGAGACTTTTTTTTTTTTTTTTTTTTTTTTGTAAAGACAGGGCCTCACTGTGCAGCACTGGCTGACCTAGAACTTACTTTGAAGACTGGGTTGTCCTTGAACTCAGAGGGATCCACCTACATCTATCTCCCCAGTGCTGGAATTAAAGGAGTGAGTCTCACCAGGCACTTTAAGATTTGGGGGCTCTTACATGGCTCCAATTTTTGTTTTCCTGTTCCCTTGTTGTAAGTTTAGACTTTTCAGACTACCATGTCCTCTCTCAGTGTAACCTACTGTGTAGTGCAGGAAACAGCCGTATTTCCCTTGCAGTTACATAAGAGCAGGATGTAATCTCCTCAAGGAATTTGAGAGTAGGTTTTTTTTTTTTTTTTTCTATTTTGTTCATTTCACCTTGCCTAACAAAGTGCCCCTCCAAGACACCAGGCTTTCTGAGAGGACGGCTGAGAATCCTCCCACCAAGATTATTCTGAAATGGATTTTAGCTTTCCTGTGGGCATAATTCCTATCCGTCCAGGAAAGCACATGGTTACATCACTCTCTTCTTTCACTTTCCCAAAGATAGTTTTTAAATGCCTCCTGGTATTTAAACCCTTCCTTCTGGCAGCAGGATGCTGTCACACAAGTAACTAGCAGCTCTAGTATTGATGGAGCCACAGGAACTCAGTCCCCTTTCACCTGCTGCCCCTCATTCCCAACACCAACACACACACACACACACACACACACACACACACACACACACACACACACACGAGATCATCAGGACAAGCCCAGTTTTGATCTTTTGAATAGGGAGAGCCAGGCGACCTGCAGACACTATACCCACTTCCTCTTAGGAGTTTGACTTTGAACCACCAGCTACCACCTCACCCCAACCTTATCAGGTAGTACCTGAGGAGCTACTACCAAACCCCCTCCCCTCTCTTCCTCACTCACTTCTGCTTTCAGAACCACCACCCTGTGTTAAAGGGAAACAGAATCATGCTCTGCAGATTGCCCATTAAATTATACTTAACCTGGTTGTCATCAGTGCTGGGCTCCCCTGGGTCGGAGAATGCTAAGCCTGGAGCTCAGGGAAGGCTCTGGTGACAGACAGGACACTACCTCTCTACTCCCGGGGGTGGGGGTGGGGGTGGGGGGACAGAACCTCACTTGGCTTCCTTCCTCAGGATGCCCGGTTCCTGTTTGCTCACAAGTGCAGCAAGACAGATCTTGGAAGGCTGGGTTTGGGATGGGTAGGGGCTCCCCTTCACAAGCCTCCCCGCTGCCCAAGTCTCCGGGTTCCTGGCCACCCAGTGAGAAGCGAACTCTGGAATTCCAGGCACAGTACCCTGCCTTCCCACAACCTCGCCCTGGAGGGCAGGGGTGTGACGGGGAGGGTGGGGGTGAGGGGCTGACGACCTGAGATTTGAGGAAACTTGTGCATGAGACCGCGGGGAATTCGTTACCAGCAAGTGTCTGTCCTCCGCAGCGCTCCGGCCTCCTGGAGTCAGAGAGGAAGTCTCCGCAGCTCTGAGTGGAGACTTCTAGCCTGCAGGCTCTTGTCCTTTTATAAACCTGGTGACATCGCACTGGGTGGAGCACTGTGTAGAAAACAGGAAACCCCCGTGCTATCAACAACCTTGATTTTGAGGAGAAACGAAAGGGATGATTTTTGGGTGAGGTTTTTTTTTTTTTTGTTTTGTTTTTTTTTTTTTTGTTTTTTTTTTCCCTCCTTATTTTTCACTTCGAAGGAGCGCTTATAGTTCTTACTGCCTGCCACTCAAGGAAGGAAATCTGGTGTAATCCCAGGTCTCCAAATCTCCCGGACCCTATCTGTCCCTTCTCAGGACACTCCATACTCCATTGCTCCAGGGTCCCTCTCCTCGGTGCTTGAAGCTCCTCGGTTTCTGCTGGAATCTCCAAGTCAAGCACTTCATCTTATCAAATGATAGCGATTCTCAGGATGGAGGGAGTAGGTCAGTGAAGGCGTCCAGAAGATCTCAAGACAGAAAATTAAAGCTCTCCTTTATCTCTATGTCCCCAAACGGTCGAGGTTGTTGATTCCCTGTTTTCTTCTGCGGGTGCTCTACCCTCCAGACGCTGTCCTTACCGAACACGGACACGTTGGTGCATGGGTTGGCAGAGCTGGATATGTTGCAACTGAGGGTATGGGGGGGGGGGGGAGAGACCTGGTCCAGCCTAGACCTCCCGATCTTGTGACACTTGGAACTCCTAAAGCGTTTGCTCCAGTCCTGCTTTCACTTCTTAATAGTCTGATAAGCACTTGTTTCTCTTCTTAACAACTCAGACAGGGACAGTCCTTGAAGACCCGGAGCTGAGGGAAGTCTCCCCCTCCCCCCACTTCTCTCCCCAGTAGACTAAAGAAGCAAGCTAAAGAAGGGGGGGGGGGTTGTTAAAGAGACTTAAAGTCATTGATAATCCCTCTATTAGTAAGGGACTCCGCTGCCAGGACTTTTCCTCCTTTCCCAGTCTGTATGACACAGCTGGAGGCTGCAGTTAGTCAGTCCCGGTCCATGAAAAACTCTAGGGTGCAACAAAAAGATTGATGTCAGGATTCTGAGGCATCATGTGACTGATGAGGCTTTTGTGGAGTGAAGGGCTCAATGACGACGGTGACAACACCCTTTCATAGCAGCCAGGAGCATAGAGCTTGATCAATTATTTTATATTTTCTTTTTGAAATCCGGATAACTGGTTTATAACATTCCCTTTTCAGCAAAAATACATTTTCCACTTTCCTTAAGTGTGAGTGTTCATGTGTGTACAGACTGCATGCACATGTATGTGTTTATACATGGAGGCCAAAGGATACCTCATCTGTCATTCTTCCTTGTGTTCTGAGAAGAGTTTGGCTTCTCGAGTGCTCAATTAGGGTTCAAAAAAGGGAACTACAAATAATCAAAGGAACTAAAATCTAAGGGAAAAAGGAATTGACTCACACAGAACTGCTTCTCTGCACTGCATGCTCCTTTATTCTCTCTCTCAGCGTGTGTGTGTGTGTGTGTGTGTGTGTGTGTGTGTGTGTGTGTGTTTCTTCTGTTTCTTTTTTCTCTGTTTCTCTGTTTTCTTGTTTCTCCCCAGTTCTTGGGGGTACAGGTATGTATACGTTTGCAACAGTAATTCTTTTTATAATACATTGTGAGGCTTGAGTTTCTCAACTTCAGCAAGGCAGATAAGATTTACACACAGAGCAATAAACTAAAACTACTAGGAGAAACTTTTAGTATCAATTGCTTAGGACTGTAGGTCAAAGAGAAGGTCTAAGTTTAATTTGCACAAGAAACAAAACCTGGTACCTTCCAGTGCTCTGGCCTCAGTGACAGAACAAGCCTTCAGGAAAGTTTATTTTTCTGAGGATGAGCAAATGGGCTGATTACCTTTGTCTTTATTTTCTCAAGGGAAACAGGAGGGAGCAGTAAATCTCTGAGCTAAAATCTTGGGTTAATAAAACAAGAAGTTTTAGAATATTTTAGAATATTTTAGAGCAGGGTTAGTTTAGCTTATCACTCCTCTGTCAATGAGGTAAACAAAACCAGGGCATGCTTATTTTTTCTATCCATCTAGGCAGCTATGAACCAACAGCTTTGGGCGTGTAGTAAGAACTTCTATGTCCTTGGATATCTGGGAATGTCTTAGATGGGATTGTTTGCCTGGACCCTAAACACTGACCAAATGCCTATCAATAAGGATAATTGTGGGAAGGCAGATCTCTGCTATTGCAATGGAGAGAGGAACAAGGACCTGATAGTGAGAAACAGGTCTCATACATAGCTAAGGAATGTAATCAGTTAACTAACACCTGTTAATGGAGAACAGGTTTTACACATAGCTAGGGAGTGTAATCAGAAAACTCCAAATGCAGGGGAGAAATTGTTCCCAGTAAATGGTCAGATAGTGCTAAACTGTGGGAAGTAAATACCAAATTGGTTGCAGAAAGGAATAAGCTATAAGAAGAATCTACATCAAGAAACAGCCAACTCATTCACAAGATTATAATGCCAAGTACAGCTTTTGTATTGGTTTAACCATCAGAAGAACCCTTAATTCATCCGAGTTATCGCGTGGTGATTATTGTATGATCTTATGGCTTGTAGCAAGGAGACAGACTCTTACACTGGCCAGGAACTCACCAAGTAGGTTAAAATGGCTAGCCAGCAAGCCCCAGGGATCTGAGTGATGGCTTCAAGGGTTGGAACTCAGATCCGAGCTACCTCTCCAGGCCTCTTTATCTTTCCTGAAAAGTTAAAAGTAAGCTTCATAGAGATTTTTATGATGCTCCTTACAATATTTTCTATCTGACAAAGTAGAATAAAACCTTATCAAAACCAGGGGCTGGAGAAATGGTTCAGAGGTTAAGAGTACTAGCAGCTCTTCCAGAGGTCCTGAGTTCAAGTACCAGCACCACATGGTGGCTCACACCATCTATAATGAGATCTAGTGACTTCTTCTGCATATGTAATAAATAAATAACATTTTTTAGAAAATTCAAAAAGGAGGATTTTGACATTTATTAACATTTGTTTAAATGAACAATACGTAGCATAATTAGTGGACTGGAGAATTAATCCTGCTTTCTGACCCTCAGAGCACCTACACTAAGGTCCAAGAGTGTTCTGAGATTTTCCTATCCCAGTGGGTAGATGCCTTCCAGAGGGGGCTTAGCCCCTTCTGATACTTGATTTGCTCTTGAGGATATAAGAAAATGGAAGTGGCTTGGGATTTTTCTTCCTGCTCTCCCCTTAGATTGTAATCATCCAGCAGGAGGAAAAAGATTCTAGAGAGTGCCTGTCCTTTGGGTTGTCAGACCCTAAGGCCTCTGAAATTGCCTGGGGAATTTCACAGCAGAAAGGCTGGTGGCAGCCCGAGGAGGAATTAACTCTCAGGAAGAGATTTCACATCCTTCTGACAACCTGTCAGAACATCTTGCAGGACTGGTCAATTCCACACCCTGGCCAGTACCCCTCAACCATGTACACCCTTTGCCTCTGTTTAAACCTAAGTTTCATGTAGGGGCCTAGAAGGACTTGTGGGTCACTCACTGGGCTTCTCTATTTGTTCCTCTTCCCAGTGTGTTCCACAATGAGCACATTTCTCTGCTTACTACTATTACTTATGTAATTGTTGTGTTAAGGACAGGTGACTACGCTCAGCTTATTGAGGGGTGCCAGGGCTCAGGCTTTGTCTCCAAAATCTATAGCAGAGGATCTTTTATCTATTGAGAATGAATGTTGCCACTGAGAGAAGAGGCTTTCCCAAGGTGTCCACATCCCAAAAACTGGAAAGCATATGGTGTTTTCTAGAAGGGAATTAAGACTGGAGATGCACCAGGCAGAGGCTGTGAATTAACAAAGGTCATCACAGTCAAACATTAGGCAGAGTGAGCCCAAATTGGAGATCTCAATTGGGTCCCTCCCCTTGCAGCTCACTTCGGAAAAGGGGGAAGAAAAGCTGTAGGAGCCCAAGGAGTTGAGGACACCAGGAGAACACAGCCCACAGACATCAACGAAGCAGGGCCCATAGGGGCTCACAGAGACTGAAATGGCAACCACAGAGCCTGCATGGTCTTTGCTAAGTCCTCTACGTGTGTGCTGCAGCTGGTGTTTTTATGGGACTCCTAACATGGGAATGGCAGGCAGATCTCTGACTCTTTCGTCTGCTCTTGGGACCCTTTTCCTCCTACTGTATTGTATTGTCTCACCCAGCCTTTTTTTTTTTTTTTTTTTTTTTTTTTTTAAATGAGGGTTTGTGCCTTGTCTTATTGTATCTTGCTATACTGTGTTCATTGGATATCCCTAGGAGGCCTGCTCTTTTCTGAAGGGAAATGGAGTAATGGATCTGGGGGAGAGAGAGGTGGGGGTGAACTGGGAGGAATGAAGGGTACTAGGGGGAGTGGAGGGAGGGGAACCTGCAGTGGGGATGTATTGGGGACATGGGGGATCTGGTTGAGAGGTGGATGGATGGGGAGAGCAAAGAAAGAGATGACTTGATGGGGGAAGGAGCATTTTAGGATCAGGACAAAAACTGAGGCAAGGGAAACTCCAAAAAATCTACAGGGATGGCCCCGGCTAAGACTCCTAGCAATAGTGGGTAGGTTGCCTGAACTAGCCATCTCCTGTAATCAGATTGGTAACTACCCCAGTTGTCATTAGGGAGCCTTCATCCAGTAACTGATGGAAGCCCAGGGAATCTTATTAAGGAAAAGGAGGAAGGGTTATATAATCCTGCAGGGTGGGGTGGGGAGGTCAGGGTCAGCACAAGAGAACCTACAGAAGTAACTGGCCTGTTCGTGGGGGCTTACAAACTATGGACCAAAGGCTAGGGAGCCTGCATAGGACAAGTCTAGGCCCTCTGCATATGTGTGATGGTTGTGTGGCTTTTCATACTTGTGGGACTCCTAACAAGGTAGCGGCATCTATCCCTAAGGCTTTGGCTGGCTTTGGGGAACCTGTTCCTAATGCTGGATTGCTTTGTCCAGACTTAATACAAGGAGAGGAGCTTAATCCTACCTCAACTTGATATGCCATGCTTTGTTGGCACCCGTGGGATAAAGGCGGGGTTTAAATGAATTCACCAGACCCAAGGTGAAAGATAAATAGGTGTTTTATTGGGGAAACAACTTACACAGATAAGAGTAAATAACCACTGTGGCCTTCCTGCTCCTTCTCTACTTGTCTACCCAAGAGAGCAGGCACCTGCAGCTCCTCTACCTTAAAGGAGTTACATCTGCACCTGAAGCCATGCCCAAAGGGTGTGGCACTACTACAAGTTCACTGTCAAGGGGAGATGCCACTACATTGGGAGGCCTGCCCCTTTCTGAACAGAGGTGGAGAAGGGATGGATTGGAGAGGGGGGACGGAGGAGAGGTGGGAGGAAATTATGGGAGGAGGGTGGGAAAGCTGCAGTTGGGATGTAAAATAAATGAAAAAAATAATTAATAAAAAAGCATTTAAAAAAAGAATGTAGCATAAATAAATGAATAAATGAATCGATAGATAGATAGATAGATAGATAGATAGATAGATAGATAGATAGTTCTTCCTGGCTGCCTACGATAATCAGAAGGATGTTATCAGTACGAGGTAGGCAGCACAGTGGGAGAAAGGCCTCCCTAGCAGCTTCTGGCCTTGGAATGGAAGGTGACATACCATAGTTCTTAACTAGAAAAGCAGATTGGGGTCAGCAAAATAGTTCATCATATAAAGGCTCTCATTGCCAAGGCTGCCAACCTCTGTTCATTACTCAGGGCCTATATGGTAGAACTGACTCCTACAAAGTTGTCCTCTGACCCTTCCATTGCACACCATTACATATGCATGCATGCATAGATACACACACACTTAGATGACAACATAAAACAAACAAATGTAAAAGGTCTTAATGAAACCACTTCTTACAACCTTCTTCTTCTCCTCCTCCTCCTCCTCCTTCTTCTTCTTCCTTCTTATATAGAAAGATGCTTCAAGCATCTGTGTTATAACTTTTCCAGTAAGAAAAAAAAAAATCAGACTCTGTTTTCTTGGAGTGCCATGGGAGTCTAAGTTCTGTGGGTTCTGGGCTATCTTAGTAAGCATGTGTAAAGTTGAAGAACTTTTGGCAATTTATAAGATGTTCATGCTAAATTTTAAAAAAAAAATGATTGAGGCTGGAGAAATGGTTCAGCAGTTAAGAGCACTGGCTGCTCTTCCAGAGGACCTGGGTTCAATTCCCAGCACCCACATGGCCATTCACAAACCTCTGTAGCCCCAATTGCATGAGATCAGATGCCCTCCCTGACCTCAAAGTAAGATCTCAAAAAATTAATATATATATATATTATGAACATGCACTTAGGTAGAAATCACTCAGCCCTGAAGTACACGTTTAAAAAAAGAAGAAGCTTGTAAAGCCAATTCACATTAAGATATGATTGGATTAAAGGAGACCGAGGTTTTAGTTTAGAACCTGGAAGACAAAATGCTTCCAAGGTAGTGATGGATTTGAATCAGCATCAGGGGAGTCCCTGGTAAGGAGTCAGCTGGAGAATGCACTGTCCCTGTCCCTTACTTGCCCTTCCAGTCACTTTCTGCACACATGCTTTCTTTTGCTCCAATGCTGTCAAACAAAACAGAACGTAGGCCCTATAACAGCCTGAGAAACTTTCGATTCTCCTAACAAGGAAACCAGCTGCTTAACCAGCATACTTCCTATGTGTGCCACAGCTACTGAAGACCAAGACACTGCCTTGCTGTCACAGTGCTCAGAGGGATTTTAGGGCACTGCGAAACTGTTCTGTGTGCACTGCAACAGCAGTGTTTGTCAAGATCCTCAGGCCACATGACCTAGCCTGAATCCTAACATAGACTGTGGACTTTAAGAAGATTATGCTATGCCAGTGCAGAATGCTATGCCAGTGTAGATTCATCAGTTGTAACAAAGGTGCTACTGTGCAGCAGACAACCTTGTGTGGGGACAAAAGATTTGTGGGAACTCTGCATTCTAGTCCAATCAAACTGCTCCTGAGGGCTGGAGAGATGGTTCAGCAGTAGAGGGCACACTGCTCTTCCAGGGGACCCCAGTTCAGTTCTCACCCTTAGCTGGGTCAGCACCAGGGGATGTGAGACCTCAGGTCTTCTTGGCACCCATATTCATGTGTACATACTGTACCTCCACATCACATAACCTTTAAAAATAAGTAAAACTGCTCCAGATGACATTTATTCATCTTAAATGTGTGTGAATGTGTGTGTGAGTGTGTGTATGAGTGTGTGTGTATGAGTGTGTGTGGGTGTATGAGTGTGAGTGTGTTGCATGAGTGTGTGAGAGTGTGTGTGAGAGTGTGTGTATGAGTGTGTGATTGTGTGTGTATGTATGAGTGTGTATGGGTGTGTGAGTGTTGTATGAGTGTGTGAGTGTGTATGAGTGTGTGTGTATGTGTGTGTGAGTGTGTGTGTGTGTATGTCACATACTACTCCAAAAGGAAGGTTACATCAGGAACCATCCTTGCTGGCACAGTGCTCAACTACAGAAGGTCTTCACGTTGATGGATGAGCAAAGTGTATCACAGTGCTCTGAGGAGATGCTTTGTTTAGTGCTTTTAAGGTCCATATAAATCAGTCCATCTGAATCAGGGGAAAGGAGCAGGAGGAGGAAGAGGAAGAAGCAATAAAAGAAAGAAAAGTGGGGATGGATACAGTTAAAGCACAATTCATACAGGTATGAAGATGTCACAGCAGTTCAGCAAGATGACCCAGGGATAAAGGCACTCAGCCTGATGACCAAAGCTCACATGAAAGTTTAGAAGGAAGCAAATGACTCCACAAAGCTGTCCTTGGGCCTTCATATGTGTGCCTTGACATTTACACACACACACACACACACACACACTATATATATATATATATGTATATATATATATACACACACACACACACACACACACACACACACACACACACACATACAAATCCTTTATTTGTAGTGTTTGTGTTTAGTATGTATGTTTTGTTGACATGGATGCATGTGCCTCAGATCCCTGGAACTGAAATTAGAGTCAATTGTGATTTGCCCTGTGGGTGCTGGAATATACATCCTAGTCTGCTGTGAGATATTTACCTTGTCCAAGGCTGTGGCACTGACCATGCCCATTGGAGGTGGGGACAGGGGTGGACATTACCTGGGAGAACTAGGTCTGGGGAAGAGACCCAGCTAGCTTAGTTGGTAAAGCATGAGATTCTTAATCTCAGGGTCATGGGTTCAAGCCCCATGTTGAGTGCCATTTTGTTACAAGAAGTTTTCCTGATGGCCTGGTCCTCAGCTCCAAATAACAGCCTCCTCAGCCCCAAATAACACACAGAGAAGCTATATTAGATATAAAGCTGTTGGCCTGTTACTAGCATTACTTGTTGGATATCTCTGTCTTAAATATTAACCCATTTCTATTAATCTGAGTATTTCCATGTGGTCTTATCTTACCGGAGAGAGGGTCCAGAGTTCTCTCTCGGTCCTACATGTTGAATCTCCTCCTACCTACCTCTCCCTGAATTCTCCTTGTCTCCTAGCCCTACCTATCTTGCTTTATTATTGGCCAGCAGTGCTTTATTCTTTAACCAATAAGAGAAACATATTTACAGAATGACATCTCCCATCACTGGTCCTCTGGAAGAACAGGCAGTGTTCTTAATGGCTGAGCCAACTCTGCAGGCCATGAGCTGGTTTTTGTTTTCATTTGAAGTGGGGGTGCACGTGTGTGGGTGATTGTGCCTTTGTGTTTATTTCACACACATGGAAGTCAAAGAACTGACTTCAGTGTCATTTCCCCTCAAGAGCCACACACCCCTGATTTTTTTTTTTTTTTTTTTTTTTTTTTTTTTGGTATGTGTGTGGGTGAGGTGGGTGTGGCTGAAGAGATGGCCCTGAAGTTAAGAGTTTTTGTTGCCAGGTAGTGGTGGCTGCATGCCTTTAATCCCAGAACTTATGAAGGGCCAACTAAGCCTGGCTGTACAGCAAGTCCTGGGGATCCATTTGCTCTTCCGGGAAGGAGTACTATCACAAATATTGGTCACCACACCCAGGTTTGTAAGTGGACCCTAGTGATCAAATTCAGGTCCTGAGGCTTTATGGACTGAGTCATCTCTCCAGGCCCCTCCCACAGCACTTCTTAACAGACTCAAATGAAGATGAGTCATCCAATGAGAGGCAGCAAAAACTACGTTCCGGGGAAACCCTTTCCTCTGGAAGTCCATTGGCTTTCCTTGGCTCTTCTTGGACTGCTGGCAGGAAGTTCACACTAAGGAACGCATTCTCTTTAACTCCTCAAAAGATGTGATTTGTCCAACCAGCCCCAGGTAGACAATAACCTCTTGAGAATGAACATGGGTTAGGCTGTGAGCCTACATCTGAGAAATGTTCCCTGTGAGTAGCTTACTGTACCCACTCACCCCTAAGTGTGGGAAGAGGATAAAAGGGAACAACTGGGCAGAGGGCAAGCACACCATTTAGTGCTAATTAGTGTACATTTTCAAAAAGACTGCACCCCCGTGTTGACAGTCAGCTTTATCCTGCCAGAATAAGGTATCTAATAAGCACTATTAGAAAACAAACCCAGGTCAGGAGTCTATGTGAGGCTCATTGCTACAGAGAACAACTGTACCCACATCTTGACAGTACAACATTCCAATAATCTATCATCAATCAAACAATATCTTTGTCTCTGTAGCTCTGCCCCCCCCCTTCCAGTTGATGTCCCAGGGATATTGGATGATTATATTTATTGCACCAAAATAATTTAATTATTTTATTGAGGACAAAAAAAAAAAAACCTGATTGTTACTTTCTATCCAGTGCTAATGCCAGAAGTGTTGTTTGTTTGTTTGTTTTAGGCAGGGACTTGTTATGTAGCTCAGAATGGCCTCAGATATGACACTACATCTGGCTTCAGAACTGCTGACCCTTCATCAAGTGGGTAGAACTGAGACATAATAGAGAGATGATATGTGACAATAGCTTTCTGTGTTTGTTTGTTTTAATTATCATTTTATACTTTGACTATGTGTAAGTCTATACACTGCATCTATGCAGTATCCAAAGAGGCACCAGATCTGCTGAGGCTGTGAAATACCACATGGGTGCTGGGAATAGAACCTTGGTCCTCTGGAAGAGCAGCCAGTGCTCTCTTAACCATCTCTCCAGCCCCAGTGTAGCATTTATAATCATCCCAGGAAGTTCACATTAACAGAGAGACAGATCTCCACAGTACACTGCTCTTGCATGGCTAAGAATAATACACAGAATATGAGTTCTTTTTTATTTGCTGAGACATATTCCTCATTAACCATAATCAGTCTGAGTCAGGTGGATAGAGGTGAAGCTCCTTCTCATTTCCACACATGTGCAGCAATGAACATCCTTAGGATATGATTGGTACATGTATGAAACAGGACCTAAACTAGGCACATTAGTCATCCATGGGGATCTGCTAGGCTACTTACTGGTCCTTTTGCTTCTTTTCCACAATGAACTATAACAACTAAGTACATCCCAAACTGCTAGGTTCTGCTTTTTCTAGCACATGCAGAGAGCTCACCACAAAATGAGGTCAACTCAGAGGAATGCAGAGACCACATGTGGCTCTAAGAGGAAGAAAAAAATACACAGACACAGAATAATGCTGGTAATGGTATTGAATCGCTGGGTCTAGCAATGTCAGACTTTCCCCTGGGTGACTAGCACATATTCATTAATGTTTATCTATGTTTGTTTAGAGGACTTTTCCAAACAAATCATGTCCCACTGTTAGCATAAACTGTTTCCATTGAGATTGGGTGATGAGATGGGGTTTGAACAGGACACTTGTAGCTGAGACACATAGTTTCAATGTATGGGAGAGAGGTCATGAAAATCAGCAGAGATCAGCATCCAAATTGGAAGACAGCATTGATCCTTATGCTCACACACCTGCTAGTCCCTATCTTGCTTCTCCACAATTTTTCAAAATACAAAACAAACAAACAAACAAACAAAAAACAGAGCCTACAGCCCTTTATTCTGTTCTTCAAAACAGAGACAACAGAATTGTCCTTCCTAGAAATTTCTGGGACCTGACAATTAAGGGAGGCAGGAAGTAAGGCAGCCAGAGGAACGCTGCTCAAACTTACCCAGGACCAAGGGGAAGATTCACAACTCTTTCCTTTGTGATGAGAATTCATTGTCACTGCTGTGATGCTTAGCTGAACTGACACTTTGGGAGGACCCAGCTCAAGACTCATGAGAGTTCAGGACCAATCCCAGCACCCCTGTGGACCACTCTCTATGACACTGGCTTAATGAAGCCATAATCCATGCACTTGATAAGACACTCCCGGGCTGTCTGAACCACAGTTGCCCTTTTCTCATCTGGTTCTTGTTTTCCTACCACAGTCAAAATCTCCAGCAGTTCACTTTCCACAAGCTTCTTGGCCAGCTCAGCATCCGCTGACAGCAGGTTGTAGGAAATGACAAGGCCCCGGTGTTGCACTGACAACTGGTCATGCAGGCAAAGCCGCTGTAGGATCTCCAGCCACTGGGTTGTCTGAAGAGTAGAAACGGGTAAGGAAGGATTGAGAAATCAGTGAGGAGGCAGAAAAAGGACTTGACAACAAGAGAAACAGAAAGTATCAGCCGTACCCATAGCTAAATAACTTGATTGTGACCACATATCTATAAATAGTAATTAATTAAAATGGGCCCTCAGCCCTATCCATTTATTTATTTGTTTGTTTATTCTGCCTGTGTTTGTATGTATGGTATACCTGTATGTATGCACGTTCACATGTATATAGGTACACATACATGCAGGTGCACATGCATATGTTTATGAACATGTTTGGAGGCCTGAAATAGATGTCAGTTGTCTTTGTCAATCACACTCCACTTTTTGTTTTGTTATTCAAGGCAGAGTTTCTCTGTGTACCACTGGCTGTCTTGGAACTCGTTCTGTATGTAGATCAGGCTGGCCTCAAACTCACACAGATCCACCTGCCTCTGCCTCCCAAGGACTGAGATCAAAGGTGTGTGCCACCAACACCCAACTCACAGTCCTCTTTTATTTGGAGAGGTAGCATCTCTCAATTGAACCTACAGCTCACTGATCAGCTGCATTACTACCCAGTTTTCCCTGGAGTGCTGGGATTACAGGCATCCATGATGCCTGCCTCGGTTTTACATGGTTATTAGGGATCCAAACCTTGCTCCTCATGCTTGCACAACAAATACTTTATCCAATGAGCTGCTTCCCCTGCTCCCGTCCATTTATTTATTTTTTAAAGCATCTTGAGAAAGAGAAAGACCGGCCCAGTGAACAGTTCAGCAGAGTGAAGATGCAGAATGCCAAGGAAAGAGAGGAACATGGATAATGCTCGCCCCTATCAAGACAAGAGCTCCAGGCATGTTCTCCAGCCTTGGTTTCAACTGGAATAAACAAAGAATCCGAGGTGAATTCTCTCCTCATTCCACAGTGGGGAGGACAAGTGACTGCTGTGTATGAGTGCTCAGCCAATGTCATCAGTGAGGGAGTTGAAAGCACAGGCAGGAGTCCACTCCTGGCATTGGACATGAGGTAGCAGAGTAGAGCAAACACACGTATGAGTTTGGATTCAGAGAGAGCAGTCCTCAGGCCCATTCAGCACTTGCCCTCTGCAGGGCCTCATTGAAGTTATGCGTGTGCCTCAAGATTCTCATCTGGCACTGTTCTACCAGCACAATTTCTAAACCTGTTTCCCAATGGAAAATGAGGACATTAATAATAATCTACCTGCTAGGTTGATTGAGAATATTAAATGATGTAGTGTGTGTGTGTGTGTGTGTGTGTGTGTGTGTGTGTGTGTGTGTGTGTGATATATACCTAGTCATGTCCCTTTAGGGCAGCATCCCACTCATGAGAAGTGCAAGAGTGCAAAGTGGCCTGGTTGACCATGTGTCCACTGTAGCCATTGTGTCTAGTTGCTCCAGGAGAGCAAATCTAAGGCACTGCTTTCTAAGTGTGGTTCCAGGACCAGGAGTTCCCTCCCATCCTCCAATCTACTTAATCAGAACACCAACAGAAACTGCTCTAACTCTCTCCATGGGTGATGCCTACAAGCATGATAGTTTTGAAGAGCTTGTAGTAAAAGAGTAATAGTAATAGTAAAAGAGACTGAAGTCCAGAGTCTACACAGGATGAACAGTACCCAGAAGAGACCTCTGGTGGCAGGACAAAAAAAAAAAAAAAAAAAAAAAAAGCCTACCTGGACCACACAC